ACAAGATTGGCCAATCAGGGGGAGCTAAAGTCTAACCACGGCTCCTACCCATCGACACCTCTAGACCAATAAGATAGCAGCACATTCTCATAACAAAAACTCTGTATAGGTACCTGTAAGTTAGCTTCCTTTTTGGGACGCTTGGCATGCAGCAACTTGCTAATCTTAGCAGTCCATGAACTGTGGTTTTCTAGAAACTACACAAGAGTGCCATGTACAGATGTTCTTCTCTATATTCTTCTTCAAATGCTCAATCACTTACAGTGCAATTCTGATTTTCTTAAACGGACTTCCGACTGAGTTTTCCTTACTTGCAAATCAACGAACGTGCTAACAACCCTTATACAGTATTTGCATGAAAGTCATTTTGCTAATTACCCCTCCACACTGCCATACAAAGGGCTGCAGCTGACGATTATTCTCAGAACAAAAAACTACGTAGTTAAATATCATACAAGAAAATCAGCCAACATTCACGTTTAAGAAGCTTTAAGAAGTCTTGGTAGTTTGTGTGACTAATCAGTTATCAAAATGGTTGCTGGTTAAAGCTGCAGGTCATTTTAATAAAAAATTACTTTTTGTCATATTTCCTGAAACTTTACTGGGCCTGAACAAAAACAACCAATCAGAGCCGAGAAAAGAGGCAAAGACCCATTGGGTTGGTGGCTTGAAAATTGATTGTCTAGCCCAGGCATGGGCAAACTGCGGCCCGCGGGCCATATACGGCCCGTTAAGCTTTTTAATCCGGCCCGCCTGACTTGATGTTGATGAAATTGCATTCATTTTGATGTCCCTGCAATTACCACGTTTCCCCATTTGGTGCCCAATGACGCTTGGTGGAGTGTGGTGTTTTATGCTGCATTCAGGTGCTCCTCGGATTATCCTAAATAAACATTTGTCATTTTGGCGATTTGGCTCTTTATTTACGGCTAAATCCCAAGCCGTTGTTGATAAATCACTTTTCTAACACGTCAAGATCACTTATGTGGACGTTGTTATTAAAAATGTTTGAGTTAAACGTTGACAGGCAAAGTTTTTTAAATCACAAAAGATCGTTTGCTGACATTTAGATGACGAATATGACATCTTTGCCGAATCAACTCTGGACTTGTTTATCTGATGTTTCCAAACGCACATGAATGCAGCATTACTCTCAACTTAACTTTTTCCACATTGCATATTGAGCCCTTATGTAAAAATGAGCGGACCAAAGAAAAGAAAAGTGGACAGTGAGTGCCAAGTGTTTAATAAGGAACGGACAGCAAAATATTTTTTCACTGATGTCCTATCAATGGCTGTATATCTGATATGCCAGGAAACTATTTCAGTTTTTAAAGAATACAACATCAGCCATCACTTTGCAACGAAGCATGCTAACTATGATAGTAAGCAGTCAACGCAAGAACGGCTGGCTACTGCTGAGAGGTTGGTGGCTAATTTACAGACTCAGCAAAACCTTTTTCACCGACAGACTGCGATTCAAGAGTCCAGTACCACGGCAAGTTTTTTGCTGGCATTCAAATTAGCAAAGGCTAGCAAGCCTTTCTCAGAAGGCAGGTTTTTGAAAGACAGCATGATAGAGACAGCAGGTCTCTTATGTCCGGAGAACAAAGGCAAGTTTGAAAAGATCAGTTTATCGCGAAGGACAGTGACTCGCCGTGTGGAACTGATTGATGAGGGTATTGCCAGTGAGTTAAACAAAAAGGCAGAGTCCTTCACATTATATTCATTAGCACTGGATGAAAGTAATGACATAAAAGACAATGCTCAACTTGTTAAAACAAAGTAAAGTGTATATGAGTAAGGGGCCTCCAGCACCATCAGTTCATTGCGTTCCTGGAGGAAACCGATGCGGATCACTAGGACTTACTTTACCACTCTTGTGTCCGCTGGTTAAGTTTGGGCAAAGTGTTTCAGAGAGTGTGGGAGCTCAAAGAGGAGATTTGCACATTTTTGGAGTCAACTTAGGAAATCCGTCGGATTTCCCCTCTGAGTGTCAAGAGCTGGTTTTGTGACTTTGCGTTTGCTGTGGACATATTTTCCCACATGAATGAGCTGAACGTGAAGCTACAGGGAAAAGATCAGTTTGTGGACGACATGTACACAAATGTGAGAGCCTTTAAATCCAAGCTGACTTTATTCTCCAGACAAGTTTCAAACAAATCTTTCGCTCATTTTCCCACACTAGCCACGCAGAAAGAGGCCACCCGAAATGCGGAGAAATACAGCAAATCACTGGACACTGCAACGAGGATTCTGCCGTCGGTTCTCTGATTTTGAAAAAATTGACAAGTCACTTCAGCTGGTGTCCTGTCCCCTGTCACACGACCCCGAAACAGCACCACCTGACCTGCAATTGGAACTGATCGATCTTCAGTCTGACTCCATCTTAAAAATCTTAAACTGAATGACTTTAATGCTTCACTGAACGAAGCCACTTTTCCAAACCTCCGGAGGGTGGCACAGAAGATGCTGTTTTTGTTTGGCTCGACCTACTTGTGTGAGCAGACATTCAAGCGTCATCAACATCAACAAAACCCTTTACAGATCCAAGTTAACTGACCAGCACCTCAGATCCATCCTGAGAATTGCCACAACAAAACTAACCCCAGACTTTGATGCTCTGGCAAAAAAGGGAGAGCAACAACACTGTTCCCACTGAAATTGAACATGAGTTTTCTCTACTGTTATGAATACATGCATTTGTAAAATAATTTGTAAATGAGCCTTGCATATTCATGCTTTGCTCTTAAAGGCCAATCATTTTATATACTGGCTTGTACATGTCATATACATTAGTTCACATAAACACGCTTCCCTGTCAAATTTTAGAACTCAGTGTGGCCCACAAGTCAAAAAGTTTCCCCACCCCTGGTCTATCCTCAGTTCCAGCCTCAGTATTTGACAACCTTGGAATGAGAATCATTTGAATTTACATCATTATGTATGATTGTTCTTTTTTCTCTGTAACTGTTTCAGTTTTCAAAAAATCAAAAGCCAAATCCCAGGAGTGGAAAACAACACTTCAGCTAAAATCACAAGAAAAGTCTAGCCTTGTGTGTTTATTGGAGGACTTTTGAATGTTAACTGGCTGTCTAGCTTTGCACAAGAATAGGCGCTGCAAGGGCAGTACAGTGAAAGGGAGATCTGATCGCTTGAGATGCATTTTAATGCCAGGTGTGAACAGGGCCTTTGTTCTGTCTCATACAGTTTATTACTGAGTTGATTTTCAAATCTGTTAAACATGCTGAATCACTGCAATACATCCACTGCAAGTTCAACACTAAACAGTGCCTGCAGTCTCTGCTTGCATTGATCCAGTTGAATGAGGATTGTGGACATTCCCACCACAATGTGAAGGCACAGACTCTCAGATGGATGCAGGTACTGCTTCACACTATCTAATAAATCCACTGCAGACCAGTAACTTGCTGCTTCCCGTGCTGATAACAGCTAAGCTTCCCTCTCTTCTGTCCTCGACGCAGAGGTCAGCTCAGCTCTTCATCCTCCTCCTCGTCATCAGGTGATGTTCAAAAAGAAGTCCCCTCAGAAGTTTTGATGTAATCCTTGAAGTCAGTTGGGACACTCAGCATTGAGCAGACCTGGACAATAACAGGTTAGTTCAGCAGCTGCTCTGCTAATGCAGGATAGCTGACATTTATACATTAATATTAATGACATCATTTCTCAAACTGCACTCTTTCCCCTAATGGAAATGTTTTGGGTCACTGTAGTGCATTTGTCCTCATGGGTCATACAAATGTAAATAAAAGTAACTACAAAAAATAAATAAAAACAAGTAAAAAATTCAAGCACAAGATAGATTTCCAGGATATACACACAGACAGACACACACAGACACACACTTTTAAGTCGTCTTGGCAAGAAATATTATAGGTCACACAATATTAGGCTATTTAATATGCTATTAATGAATACATTTATTCAGTTTTCAGCTGACAGACATCTATATGTGATACTGGCCAAAAGCCAGCCAACAAATGCTGCACCCAACATATCTGAATCAATCTGAATCACTTCCCTGTCCTTGTGTTCAAATTGGAAAGACAACATATAAACTATACATAGTGACAGTTTGTATTTATTTTAAAATAGTGTCGAAGCTAAAGTAAACTGCTTATGCCATTCAAAATGCTGTGGCGTAGCTTATAAAACCAGAGTTTTAATGGACCACAGTTGAGATCAGCAGCTGCAACTGATTCAATACTCTGATCATCCCTGGGACTTCCTTCACTATCAGCAGTTTCAAATCAATGTTGTACCTGTCTGAACTTGGCCCGGAGTTTGTCTATGTCCTCTTGTAGGTGTGCAGACTGCGGATCATCATGAGGGGAGTTCTGGATCAAACGCAGGAGCGATTCCAGTGCTTTTATACGCTTTCTGATGTAAAAAAAAAAACAAAAAACACACACACACACTTTTTATATCAGTAAATGTTCTTTGTACAGGGATGGCTGAGTTAGCTTGATGTGGATTTCAAAGTTCAGTGTATAACATTTAGGAGGCTCTATTTAGAGAGAAAAGGAAAATAATATGCATAGGTATGTTTTTATTAGTGTATAATTACCTGAATATACAAGTAAGCAAGCAAGCACAGAGTTACGTGCTTTATAAACAAATAAAAACTCAAACATACATATGGGTCAATATATATGTACATGCATCACTATACCCAATCAAACATACATAGGGAACATGTAAATACAAACATAAGGAAGATAAAACAAGAGGGAAGGATAACTTAAGAGATGACTGATGAGAAAACAAACAAGGAGATC